CTGAGCATCCAACATAGGGTAGGCCACAATGAAAGGAGTAAAGATATGATGGGATGATGCCATTCCATTATTCTGAAGTTACTCTTGCTTCAACTACTACTGGTGCTAGTAGTACTAGGCCTCCTTTGTCTTGTCCTCCTCCTGGTGGGATTGGWKRAYAACAASAASAACWRSTGCCAAAGCAGAATCCTCCTCCTCCTTTTTCTTGTACTACTAGTAGCAGGGCAGCAAGAAGAAGAAATTCTTGATACCATCAGTGATTTGGATGATGTGGCCGAGCAAGAAGAATCACCAGCAGCAGTCGTCCGAGATGAACCACCACCACCACCAGCATCACTACTAGTACTAGTACTAGTACTATTAGTACTACTAAGTGAAAAGAAGAACAACAACAAGTATACGTGAAGCTCTTCCATACAATGATACTGCTGGTATTGCCCAACAAAAAGTGGTGTAGAAATGATATTGATCATAATTCTTCTTGTTAATGTTGAGAAAGAAGCTTCTTCATTTGATTAGCGCAACAAGAAGTAGCACACGGTTCAAAAATGAAAACAAAACATGCTACGGTACTTGATGGGAGGGAGGTTTTCTCCCCATAGCTCCACAAATTTGGCGTGAACGCACGTTACAAAAAAATCTTGGACACTATCGCATCGGTATCGGTACTTCTATTTTTTCGTCAAAAACCATGAAACTACGTACTGTACTCCTACTCCTACTGACTTCGTGACATCATTTYTTTTTATTCAGTCATTAAAAATTTCGATTTCTTCTTGATGCCCTGAAACATTTCAGACAAAATCGTTCGGGGCTATTATAAGTGTTTGTCTGTTCCACCGAGAAAGAACTTGCAGAATTAAATTGCCTCTCGCGATTTTTTGCGCCATAGGCTGTCCTCCGTCGTAGGAGCATTACTCGATGTACGAGTACGAAAACCAGTCATAGCGTCGCCTTGTTTTCCCAAAAAATGAGCACATCTTTATTCTTCGATCGGTGGGGTGGAGCAAATTTTGGTGAATGAAACATTCTTGCGATGTTTCAAGTTGGGAGATTTCTTCAATTGACGAAGAAAGCTTGGTAATCTGTAGACCAAACAAATTCCATCGCGATTACAGTGAGTGCTTTGCATCCCGCAAAAACGACAATTGACGCGAAAGGCTTTATCAGTGACTCAACGATTGTAACATGAGCAACGCCGGTAGCGAAATTGGCAGCGAAATCAACGCTGACCATGAAGAAAATATTGGTTCCAACTTCCTCAGTCGGCTTGAGGTCTCACTCCTTGTCGACGCGGATGGAGATGAAGATCTGGACATCGAWGAAGAGGTAATCGACATTGAAGAAGTTATGGAATTGAATATGATGAAAGAAAAAGACCGGAGAGAAGTAAAAAAGAATAGGGAAAAGGGAAAGAAAAAGGGCAAGACTTTACATGAGGGAGTTGATCCCAGACTGTTTCCATCGTATTATATAAAGGAGGAAGAGGAGGAAAAGAATGGAGACGACGGAGACAATGGAGACAATGGAGACGATGGAGACGACGGAGACAATGGAGACGATGGAGACGACGGAGACGACGGTGACGACGTTGATGACGAATTAAGCATGGAATCTTTCGAGGATGATGACGTCGAAGGGCAAAATTCGTCCCGCGTAGATTCACTGGATAATGGTGAGGACACAACCAACTTTGATTATACTCARAAGGTAGTGAGTGCCATTCAGGGTCGCAGGATAGTTTCAYTGAGCGTGTTGCGGATGGCTGTAACGAAAGATGGTAGCGATGAGCTAGTAAAATTTGCGCAAATACTACAAGATTCCCAAACAGAAGGCATTGCTCGTAGAGTACACCCTTTYGAAGATACKACTWCTTTTGGGTCTCCTGCTCGCGTCTTGGAGCTTGAAAAGGGACAAGCTATACTGGTTATTGATCCTAGTGGCATTGATAGAATGTCAGAAACAAATATGAGCGTTGCAGCAGTTAAGGAAACAAAGTTGCCGGAGAATCAAGATATACTAGAATTGCTGAAGAAAAAAATTGCAACCCAAGGTCTTGACATTCGAGACGCGAAAGAATCCAATCAAGGACGGAGTATGATGGGAAAATTGGGCAGAGCTCGACAAAAGAGGCTGATACGAGATATTGTAGAAGCAATGGATGATGTCAACGCCCTTAATTTTGGGAGACAAATACAGTCGTCGATCCCGTTTTTGACTGGATACGAGTCCTACTTATTGGCRAAGGTAGTGGAAGTGCTAGATAAAATAGCACTGGACTCATTCTATTTGGGCCAGGTTGCTAGAGTGTTTGACAGAGTAGTTCCGGACTTGAACGTGTCCARAAAGACAAAACGCAAAATGAAAAAAAGCAGGAAAAGGGAACTATATCAAATCCTCAAGTATGSCTTCAGAAATCAGAATGTGGCTCGTATTGTTGTTCAGAATCTTGAGTTCGGATTTGACTTTGAATCGCACTGGTTCGACAAAGTTTGTAACAGTCGATGGTACGATGCGCGGGGGCAATTTCCCATGTCAGAAAATATTACTAGCTCTCACGATTTGGTGAAGAAATTCTGGAAAAGAGTTCCCAACAGGTTTGCAGCACAAAATCTACCTGCAGGTCTAAATGAATTTATATCTTCAAAACGACACCAGTTCGGTACACATATCGGCCGTATGATAACAAATGAATTTCGAGTTGAAAATCGGTTGCCTGTCGACGAATCGATTGTTTATTCATTCGTTGTCTCWCCTATACCAACGATGATAAATAGCGGAGTTGTTCATGTCCTGAGACAATTGGCAAAACACTGGAATGATGTTCTGGCACAACCCTTTGGCAATTGGACCCATCATCCGATGGAACAACTCGATCCATTTCGAACGATGCGATTCTACATACCCAATGTCTGCATCGTCTTGTCATCCTTGCGTGGACGGAATAAGTGGGATATCGACGTGCTGGGTCCATTCATATTCAAATGCCAGAAATTGCCCACCTCATCAACGGCGAAGGAATGCCTCAACTTAGCCAAAGAAATGCGATCAAAAATCATCCATGAGTTATGCGCAGGTGTAATATCGATCAAGAACCCTTTATCGAGTTGGCTAAAAGCGATTCAAGAGTCGTGTATCCAAATCGAAAAGGACTCCAAAGCAATATATGAAGAAGTTACAGGGGTAGAGATAGGACTTCGGTTTGGATTTGATCTCATTACGCAAGTCAGTTGGAAAGTACCACCCGATGCAGAACTAGAACATGCAATATCACTGCATCTACAGGGAAAGTATCCTGGAGAAGTTGTTACTCAACGCAACATTCGCAGAGCTTTATTATCAGTAACACCTCGATCCAGTCGAACTATGTTGGGTTTATCAAAATTGGACGAACTCGGATCGAAACCGATGAGAGTGWTGATCGAGAACGTAAGAAACTTACTCAAGCGAGTCATCCGTCGTGAACTATTAAACGATGCTATCCTGGAATTGTCGACAGGCGAACATATTTTCGAAGATGATCTCGTTATTGGTGATTGGTACTGGCTCAATCAAGAAGGTGAGAAGAGGTCTGTTTACACCTTTGTTGGAGAACAAATGAGGGGAGAAACGTATGTATATCTYTTCATTAGTGTCGACTCGGGGGTCGAGAGATTAGTCACCTTCGATGACGAGGAAGACATCAATTGTCAACAATATATTCCAGTGGCTGAGTCCATAGTTCGYGCCCAGAGATGTTACATGAATYTCGAATTGAACCATTGTCACAAGTTCAAGTATGATGCTTTCATGGAGTTTTCGTTTCTCCGAATACCTTTAAGACGATTAGCTCTTGTTTCTCAAATATTTTGCGAAGAACTTGACAGTGCTCGCCTCAATCTGCTTCAAGAAGTAAAAACCTCCAAGCAAGTGAAAGTTGAAGCTGGAGATTTGGAGCCAGGCAAAACTTATTATGTGYACAACAGCGAATTTCACGTCTATGCTCCTTTTGTTTGTAAGAAGAAGTATTCTCCAGCAGATTCTGAATGGGAAAGACTAAAGATGGTTGAAATRGTGAAAGTTCCCCCGCAGTCAGTTTGTATTATTGGCTCTAGCATAACGGGYTTGATGACTGCGATCCATTGCACAGAAAATGTGCTAGCAAGTGGTGGGCAGCTAAAAYTTTACCAATCAAATGATGCAACTGTGAGGGCGGATTCGATATTTGAACGATCAGAGATCCTTCGTCTCGGCGTACGATGGATTGCCATGCTTCGATATCACTTGGGCAGTATCTTTGAGGATGTATTTATACCTACATCRGGTGAAATGAACGCCCACTTGGGCAATCATATGGCAACGGAGGGCTTTGTCGAAATCGCGATCAAGTACCTGGAGTGTATATTGCACGGAGAGGTAACTAAGCTTTGGTCCAAAGAGATAATTGAAGTTGTGAGTGGATCAAACGTTAGGTATGATACTGAATCAAACTGCTTGACAAAGTTGGGGGAGYATCTTGAAGTTGGAGATAACATACTCCGCCACGTGGATCCGAAYGGTAACCCCTGTGAAGGGCARCATCGTTGGGAAGTAACGAATGTTCACTACACCAAAACGCTTGGGGTTAAAGATCTTATTATTGGAGAGGAGTATGATATATAYAGGGATCAAGAAATTAGGACGTTTTCGTTGTCTAGCGTCAATCTCCAGACAAGAATATATACTTTTTCATCTAAGAAAAAGAAAATCAAAGACATTGTAGCACCAGCACATAGTCTACCACCAATATATCCATTGGGAACAAAACGCCAAGCTGAGACGGTTTTTCTAAAATGCGAGACGAAAGGCAACTCTAATGAAAATTAYCTCGACCGATTGTCGGAAGGCAGTGTAGAGGGGCATGAGTTTGTGGTAGACGTTGGACATAGTCATGTGATAGATTGCACTATGTAAGTGATGGTTCTTTGGATGAAATGTACTCAAAAATYYACTGAAACTGACATTTCTTTTTTTCATTTTGAATTCAGCAAAACACCCGATGTATCCTCCTTTTCTTTCCAGGCCACCCCCAGTGAACCGTATGGTGTYTGTTGCATATCTCGTCCCAACGATTCAATTGCTGGAACATCAAGAATTATTGGTGATTTTAGAAAGTTTGTTCGACAAGTCAGTATTGCAAATGARATGAAAATATTGTTACAATCCAAGCATTGGCAGCGTCACTTTGAAAAATTAGTAGAGGATTCTGATTTTTCTACACTGAACGAAAAAGATCCGATCGTTATAAAGCTAATGGAGGCCGTGGAATGGCATGCCAAACATKCTCMTGACTTTCGACGTCGGAATCTTCAGATTCAACTACTTGAGACCGGTGATAACTTTTGTGTGGCAATGGAACTATCACGCGAATATGAGAAATGGAAAAATGACACAGTTGATCGCTGTTTAGTTTGGGAGAAAAAAAGAAGTGAGGATGTAGATCATAATTCTAGATATCAAATGCCAGATATTGACAAACTGAAAGGCATTGTGAGTCACAATATCGATTGTCTTTGGTTTGAAGCAACCCTAGAAGTTTTGCGACAGGCTGATGTCTACAATGTGGAGAAAACAAATGAATTTCCGAAGCTGCAATTGATTAACTCTGAAATTGTCGAAGAGGTAAAGAATCTTTCTTTGGGTGATAGTTTCAGGGAGGTAGGGAAGCCGAGAACAAAGTTTGAAATACTTCTGACGAACAAGAAAGGAATTTTTGCTAGAACTGCTGAAGGTGTTGTTCGATTATTCGATCCAACGGACCGTGTTTTCAGAGAAGGAACTCTGGCGAGGTCGTATGACTTTGATACTGAATCGAAAATTGCTATTACAACATTCCCTGTTTCCCACTATGTAAACCACCGTTCCATTCGTCATAATAATGCATCGAAAGGATATGTATTTGCTTCGTTTGGAGATGAGAATTCGACTTCGCACTTMATGCGCTCTTGCAGACTTACTGGAGGATGTGTCAATGYTTTACAATTCGACAACTTTGTGAAAGCCGCAAATGATGGAATTGCATTAAAGGATAGATTTCAACTTTACTCACGAGGAGCGAACTGGTCTAATGGAGAAGCAATGCATAAAGGAACAATGAGCAATGATGGGCAAGACGCTTTTCTGCGCCCTGGATTCTCAATTGATCAATGTCTGAAATACCTACGTTCAAGGATCATCGAATTGCTTGAGGCAGAGCGCGATCTGGACARCATTCTTTCGCAAGATTGGAAAGCGAAGTTTGCAGCATCAATRGTTCCATGCGGAATGGAGCTCAATGGCAAATTCATCAAGACGTTAAAAGACGACATATTTGTTTTTATTTTCAATATGTTTCTCGAGGGTGTAGCAAAGGACAAAAGCCTTAGTGATGGGATTTTAAGCATTCTGCAAGCCAGAGGGGACGAAATGAYAGAGGACCGGAGCAAAMTAAGTCATGATATTTATTGGAAAGATTTTTTGTTTGGATTGAAAACATCTCTCGATGATGCAACTCAGAACCGACTAAAGGATTATCATTGCGAAATTGCCAAAAGAATGAATCAATCCATTCTTGAAACCATCAGTTTCGCCAAAAAAKCGTATTTGTATGATCAGAGATTCGGTCAAGAGCTATGGAAACAACCCAAATCTGTCGATTCACTGATTGACGACTTTGCTCTCGAGTCCTGGAAGTACGCTAATTCATTGTCCATGATAGTGGCCCTTTCAGCAGGCTCCGTCGCTTTGTGTCTCTTTGGTTCGCTCCAAGACAGCTTGGTACCCCGCATTTTATATGAAAGTTGTGGCATCATAATTGCTGCCTTCAATATGGTCATTTGTCTCGGGATAATATCAAACATTGGCACGTACAAGACGCGAAATCAGGAGGCCCGCGTCTTCTACCTTAAGAATCATCTTTTCGAATTCAAGAAGACACTTTTCGGTGCTATGGACAAGAAGTATAGATTAGATGTTGCGAGAGACAAGGAAGAGAGAAAGTTTATATTTGAAGGAGATAACCCGTTCCTCCAGGAGCTAATGGAAAAAAAACATCAGTTTGTTAAGGATGTTGCGTACTATGATCTAGAAGATCCAGATGAATTCATTTTTGACTACAGACGACTGATGGACCGGATAGATCAACCCGCTGCTTACAAACACTTTCAGAAATTATTGACAACGTATTACATTGTCGATGTGTATCAGACTAATTCATACGTTCAGGAAAGCCTTGTGGAATTGTATAAAGTTTGCGATGAAATTCGGACCCAGTTAGTTCAAGAAGATTTCAAGACCCGTAAGAAGGGGAAAGATATGGCCCCTGTTCTCTTTGATCGCATTACGAAGTTCGGGCCTCGTTTAGAAGAATCTCTTCAACCAAGTCTCAGCAGAKTCTTTTGTAATCTGCTGTGCTTTTTCAATAAGAAAAGAAGGGTTYCYCCGATACAAAAAGAGATCCGTAAAATTATAACTGAGGCTGMGATTGTGAGCAGGGCGTATAAAGGTCTCTTTCTGAAACGCCAGATTCTAGACTTGGAATGCTTGCATCGAGCCGGAAGTGAATTGGGCAAAATACGGATGATTTCTGCATCGTCCTGGATGCTTTTCATAGCCTCTTTGATCTTTCTTATATCAAGAATCGTAACATTGGCTGGTTTTGAAAACTTCCTTTTCATTGCTATTGGATTGTGGTCGCAGATGCTAACATTGGCTGKTGGATTATTGTCTYTSCTATTTTTCTCTCGCAATATTTTGACAATTCTGTGGCTCGGGGTCACGGTTGACGGTAAGGTCAAAATCGCTGCCAGGACGCAAGATGACAATACACATAGTGCAATGAGAAACATCAGAAGCGTTATTTCCTCACGGATCTACATGAGAATAGTCCGACTTTGCGCTGTGTTGTGTTCAATGGYAGCGCTACCTTGGGTMATGGTTCTCTACGCTCTCCCCRGAGAAGAAGATGCAAGTGGGTACYTACCACTTTACATCGGTTTTGTTGGATTGGTCCTGGCTGTAGGAGAGGCGATCACATTTTTCTTTGTCGAATAYATCGTCAGCTACAACTTGCCCTCATGTTTGGGGGAACATATATGCAATGCGTTTCGTGAAGAAATAAAATTGATGCATACATCACTAACGATTACCAAGACGAAGTTTCACACTGAACAAGCTCAAGAGCGCATCACATGGGAATACGTTGCCTGTGAGTTTTTGCATAGGTACAGATTTGATCTTATCCTGGGACCTGATCGTTTTAGCTCGATCTTTCGATTTTTGCAATGTGGCGTAGAGAATGAACGTGCAACTGATAGTGTCGGATTCGGCCGTCCAGGGCGAAGACACACGCAAGTTTTTTTTGGGCCAGAGGGGGATATTATKTGAAAAGATACTCAATGCACAAGAAAAACTGATTCGGAACCCAAGTTAAGGAACTCTTCGGTTACCTCTTTGTATCCAAAAACGTCGCAGAGAAAAGATTCCCCACAGTCATCAACATTTTGCTTGGTATATTCTGAAACCTACTTTCAGCATGGTGCAGGATTCTTGCATGGAGAATRATTTTCAACCCCAAACAAAAGCATCTAASACTACCCTGTTCCAAAGAAGTAGAWGCAGTTGCTGCCGGTGTCAGATCTGAGGATCACTACCTCTAAACTGTTCGTGGATACTCTATYGTTTGCAACGGTGGATTCACTGTTATTAATGGTAGGAATGTATTTTTTTCTATTCTTCTTGTTTGGGTATTCGTGAAGCTACACCTATTCTTCATCTCAGAAATAAAAGAGCTTTGATTCCTGTAGTCACATCAAAGCTGTGTTTTGCAYAGAAACATAYGCTGATGAGTTGCTTTGTTAGTTGTGAATTTATGTCCATGAATATGCAACATGCTTGGAACACTATTCATTTCCATTAACGATTGACTCCTGCGCAAGTCAATTGGTTCCCATCATTAATCTAATGATCCCGTCCTCAATGTACAACACGGTACAACATCTTTAGAGCTAGTTTTCAAATCCYATTCTGGTTGCGTAGACCCAACTTGCCTTYTTTATCAACAGGTGAGTCATCTGAAACCATGTAAAAAATGGGGAGCAAAGATTCTTTAGATCTCTGTAGAATTTGCACTGGTAAAAATCTGCAAAATGCCTACCGGTCTACTCAAATATTCGTAGTTCAAGCACACTGATAATATGGTTGCAGTCTATGATTACCGAAACGATCGGGGGCATCGTCTCTGCGTCGTTGGTTCTATGTTTAGTTCGTTTTGTGTCGCGTATGATACGCATGGGATTCAAAAGACATTCCATGGAGGGATGGTATCGTTGATGCTGCCTGCTGCTTTWTCACCGCGGTGCAATGCCGTGCGGCATTCTGTCTACCCGGTGGCGACATGCCTTGCTCGATGGGTCTGTGTGCATCGCGCACCGTTCTTGTTGTTGTTATTACTCTACTCCTCGTGTGCGCTCCGCCGCACTGCCGGCCTGGCCACGAGATCGGTAGATTCTTCGATCCTGTTCGGGTTTCGGTCCGTCCGCGGCGATCTCTGGCTGGCCGAGGCCCAGAGGCCGGCGAGGCCGCCYACCCCGAGGTTGCTGTAGAGGCACGCCGCCAGGATGAGCCCCGCGCCCACCACGGCGTTCGTTCCCATTTGCTCCCCCATCACCGCAACGGCAAAGGCRGTTCCCCAGAGGGGCTCCGTCGAGAAGATGAGCGTCGTCTCGGCCGCCGAGAGGCTCTCCAGCGCGAGGGTTTCCATGTAAATGGTCAGGGCGGTCGTGACGCAGCCGGTCCAGAAGAGGCTGAACAGGATGGACGGATCCGTGCACCAGTCCCTCCAGGGGAAGGCCGCCGCGATCGAYTCGAGGCCGGCCGGGTCCGCCCCGGCCCCCGGGCCGCCAAAGACCCCCAGGGTCCACAGCCCGTACCCGGCCGAGGCACAAAAGATGGCCAGGAGCTGGGCGGCCGTCATGCGGGGTGCCTCCCGCGGAAAGAGGTGCATGGCCTGCTCCATCCTCCAAAAGCCCAGYCCAAAGGTCAGGGGCTGCACGAGGGACAGGCGGTCCCCGGTGGTGATGCCCCCGCCCGCGGACAGGAGGTCCGGACCGATCCCCCCCAGCTCGAGAAAGGCCACCCCCACCAGGGCCATGAGGGCYCCCACCCACTGGCGGGGCAGGAGCTTCTTGCCCGCCAGCCAGTCCAGGAGGGGGACGATGACCACGGCCATGCTGCAGATGAAGGCCGACTTGGACGCGAGGGTGGTTTCCAGGCCGACCGCCTGGGAGACGTACCCGATGGAGTTCCATAGGCCCACCTCGAGGCCGTACATKGTGGCCATGAAGCGCTGGTTCGCTGCGGTCGGAGCCCCTTCCCCGGGCCTGCCGGCCGGAGCGAACCATCCCTCGACGAGCCACGGAAAGGTGGCCAGGGCGGCCAGGCCGAAGCGGAGGGTGGTGCTGATGCCGACGGGCATTTCGTCGCCCAGGAGCTTGACCACGGAAAAGTTGGTCCCGTAGAGGGCGGCGGCGCCCACCAGMAGCCAGCGGGCCCGCCAGACCCCCTCTTTTTCGGMGGCGGCGCTCTCGGGGCCGTCCCGTTCGCCGGGCGTGGAAGCCTTTGGTTCGGTGGAAGCCTTTGCCGCCGGAAACAGCAGCGAGAGCTCGCTGGTGCTCGTGCTCGTGCTAGCGGTGAAATCGCTGTCGAGGGGCAGAGGCCGAGGYGGGGATTTGCCGGCATCGAGGGCACCGCCGAGGGGATCCAATGACGAAGACGAGGACGTTGCCTGGAAGGACTCCAGGTCCGCCATGGCTTCGAGCATGGACCGGAGAAGACGCAGGTCGAGATCCTCGTCGTCGTCGTCGTCGTCGTCGTCGTCGATGTCTTCGATGCAATCGAACCTATGCCCATCGAAGTCCCCGTCGCTCCCCGGGGACTCCTCGACCACGGGCACCACGGCGGTGGCGTTCCGGGTCCAATCGTGGTTCCGGCCGGCCGCCGAGAGAGCAAGGACCTTCGCCCGCGGCCTCGGAAGGCGCCGCCTCCCCGCCGTGTGGAAACCGCGTGCCACYGCGGGCGGGCGGATCGAGTAGGCCTCCGCCCGCTCGGTGAGCAGCAGCAGCAGCAGCAGCATTCGCGGGGAGGTCCACCGGTGCCCCGCCGTTGCGATCGAGCTCACGGATGCAAGGGCAGCTTGCGTGGTTCTTCGCTGCAGCGCCATGGCAAGCTCGTGCAATGTGATGTGTTGTGATGTGGTGTGTCGTGATGAGTTGTGTTGTGATGTGATGTGATGTGTTGTATTGCGCTGCTGTATTGGTGGAATGTAGGTGCGAGATCGTATCGTGCTGTCTTSTGTATTCCAAAAATAGGGAGCGTGGCGTGGCCAAAATCAATCCGATGGCTTCCGTACCAGGTAGGCTCGCTGGGTGTTGTTGCTACGGCTCGCTATTTTGAGATTTTGTGGTCCCTCAGTGGCACTGAAAGTATCGGTGTGTCTTTCCTCAAAATCGATGGGAATGAAAAAGGAATGATCTTTTTTGATGGTACTCGTACTGGTACGACACGATACGATACGATACGATGCGATACGATACCTTTGTTCTCCGTCTTCCCCCGTAGGGTATCCTACCGTGATGTATGTGTTCGGRTACGTATGTTCTCTGTTGGATGCTGTGGAAAACAGTTTCTCGGAGTCGAGAGCGCAAATCAAAAAACTACTCGAACACGGTAGGAATGAGCGACGCTACGGGCGTTACAGATGCGGAACGCCGCATCATCGATGCAATCAAGATGGAGAAAATCTGCTTCCCATCACGATGAAATGTTTTGATTGGCTCGGACATTGAAGGAAGCAGCTGTGGCGGATCTTCGATGCACTTGCAGACACCTTGGCCGTTGGATTTCGTTCCACTCCCACGTCACGAATGCGTGGATCGTGTTTGGAATACGGAATCCGAAAACGAAACATACTAAAAACCCATTGCCTTTTTTGCGCGCCGCGCAGAACAACACMGAGATTGTTTTTGTCTTGCGGTGGGCTTCGTCGTCGGGATTTCAAGTTTTCCATCGTCGTTTATGGTATGGCACAGTAGCTTAGCTTGTGACAAGCTACTCGCGCTAGCTTCTCCGACGAGGCAACCAATGGCTGGTCGGGCTTCGACGCCGGGATTTGGGTCACCGACGAACGCAGCCGCGAAAGGAAACGGCCGAGGAGAAAGGACTTGCGACTGCGAGTAGGACTGCGACTGCGACTGCGAGAGATACGGTGTTGAATTATTCTTGTCCAATTGCATGTATGTTAATTATTGTAATTAGTCACGGTCTCGGTTCTTATGCATTTGCGCCATTTTCTGGCTTTCTAGCTACTTTGTTTATCCAACGCTGTCCCGTTGGTCAGGGACGGTTTGGCTTGGCTTGGCCTGGCCTGGCCTGGTTTGGCCTGGCCTGGAGTGACGTGGTCCGTCCTCACGCCGCAACCGGCACCTGCCCCTCTTCCGATTCCAGTGCCTCCTGCTCCTCGAGCTCCCGCAGCCACTGCTCCACCTCCCACACGGCCGAGGGGTGGTGTTCGTCTCCCCTAAGGAGGTTCGAGCTCAGGTCCTCGGACACGGCCATCGAACCGAACCACATGCTCAGAAAGGCCCGCTGGAAGTTTCTCCCGCGGACGACGCCCTTCAGGACCCCCTGGTCGATGATCCGCGTCTCGTCGCCCACCAGCTGGACGGACTGGGTCCCCAGGTACTGGATGGGCCCCCCGGACGCCAGCCGGACAAAGAGCGCCCGGTCCTCCTCGTACCCCTCGTACTCTCGGTGCGTCACGCTGTGGTCGAGCTGCTGGGTCCAGGCCGAGACGACCCTCGATTGGCTGACGTACCGYAGAAAGGTAAAGTCGAGCTGGAGGGGCCCGTGGCCGCCACCGGAACGACCCGCGTCGATCGCMCCACGGTTGGCCCGCAGCGGGGTTTCCCCCAGGGCCTGGGCGGTGCTCAGCAGGGGCTCCGCGCTGTACATGGCGGCGACGTAGATGTTGATGTTCATCCCGAAAAAGGGTATGCGGCGGATTCCGTGGCCGTTTCGGTACAGGTGCACCCCGTCCACGGTTTTGAAGCCGGGCAGCTCGACGCCCTCGAAGGTCGTCGCTTTCGCGCGGCCGGGATCGGTGGTGGTGTTCGGAATCGCGTTTGCGTTTGCGWTTGCGTTTTGTGAAGCTCCCGACRCCACCGCTGCCATCCTGTTGTCCTCCCGAGCGAGATCCGCCGGTGCCAGTGTCGCCGATGCCGTTCCGGCTGCGGAGCACGACATGGTTGCCACGCATTCTTCCGTGGTGCCCTCGGCGGTACCCATACCCAAAGAATGAAGGAGGTAAGAGAAAAGAACGCCGTTCCTTGCTACTGTTTTACAAGCACGAAAAGCAGACATGAACTGTRGATGCCGACCGTTYGAGTATTGCCGCCGGTGGGGGGCGARATCCGAATGCTTGTAAACCGATGCAAAAACTGCGAGAAGAAGGAACAGACTTTCGAAAAAGTATTGAGGTTGCATGTTGCAGCCGAAATTCTTCCTTGTTCTAGTTTAKAGATGAATGGATCGATAACCACTGCTTCGTTCGATTATTGTCGTATKSTACACGGTGGGCTCGAGACAAAGCACTTTACGGTTGTAAATTCTGAAGATCGATTGCACTTTTTGCGTTTTAGTCGGTGTTTGCGATTGTTCTTTCTTTCGTCTTTTCCTTTCTTTGTATTACGGTAATAGTAGGATACGGTACGTGTTCGTACTCGACTACTACTGTATTTTTCAATTTTTAATTTTTTTGTCGGCTCATGTTTGTTCTTTTCTCTCCTTGCGGTAGACGTACGCACTTYCGGTACGTAGGTACGGTTACAATTGCGGCCAACTTTGCTTGACACCCGCCTTGAACTCGCAGGCCGCGAAATCCTGTCACAAATTTTCACAATTTTCAAAATTCAGGGGACGCAATCAAGACGCGCAATTCTGCGACTGCTCATAGTAATGTACTGAAGGTGCTGTATGACCACACGTCCAACGTACAGTACCGCAGGGGTCATAATTACCCCTGCAGTACCGTACGTACGGTCCGGCAGGGGTCATAACCCCTGCGGTCCGGTAAAGTACCTTGTATCCTACTGCACAATATACCCATGGTAGATACCAAGCATAGGATCGATCAAAAATCTATGTTTCACATCAAAATCAATCTACCAAAAACTCCAAAACACCCCGTCTGGACAAGGACTATTCAGTCTGAACCCATCATACTACCATACTTCATCATACGATAAGCAGGTCACCAACACTGCCATGGACAGGACGGAACAATCGCCGCCACGGGCAGGAAACGAAGAAGGGCAAGAAGGATCTCTTACGGACTGGTACGTTGCGTTGACATTCCTGCGGTCTCGCGGATCGTTCGTCGCCAAGAGATGGCGATCGGCGGACGGAAGTGTTTTCTTCCGATGATTGCGTCCACCGCTGACGCGTCATCGATCATGAACCCTAGTTTGTGCCGTGCAATACCTTTCGATCGCGTCTAAACGACTTGTGTGATTACCTCTTTCGTTGCTACACAATGGAACGGCACCGAAACATAGCTTGCTCTCGCAATATCGTCTCTGTGCCGCCGGCATAGGCCTGGGAACGGCCTATTCGTTGAAATTTAAGAAAGGATTGGTGCCAATGATCGCCGCTGGGGCCGTAGGGACCACAGCAGACATGGTAAGACTATCATATTTTCACCAGCCGACCGCCACGAAAATAAGACCAACCTTCTGCTTTGATCGAAAATTTGGACAAAAGTATTCAGGTACCGACTGTGATGCGATTTCCTTTCCAGTTTCCTTCAATCCACTTACTGAATATTTGACATCTACTTTCTCGTGCATGTTGTTTGGTTCTTGCCCTTCTTACTTCAAGGTTTACGGCTACTTGGTGGAATGTGCCCACTTAACAAAATCGGCTGAAAATAACGACAATCCTACAACAAAAATAGGAACGGGAACAAATTTCAAGGATGCATCACCGACAAAAGAAATCAACGGCAACGAATCAGGGCAATAGCATGTACTCTTTTCAATACATTAGAACGCATTATAAGCCTAGTGAACGCATCACGAATACTAAGTTTGAACTGGTGAATCTTCCTATTTTTTCCGAGCGAAGAGACCCTTCGATAGTTTGGCGCTGGCATACCGAATGCTTTTTCGAAATCCTAGGGTGAACACTCCCTTGAAGGATTGGTTCCTGGCGGCAGGGGCTACGATTGCCGACAATGCCTTGGCCAGAACGTCGTGATTTACTCTAAGATGTTTGGTGCTCTTTGTCGTTGCTGTACCAGTAGCAGTGCCCTCTCGCAACGATTTTGGTAACTGACGCACCAATTGATTTATTACGGATGGATCGTTCGRATTCCATTCGACTCCACAACTGCCACCACCACCGGATGATGGATAAGATGTCGATAGGAATCCGGACATCTCGTATGATTTAAATATGGGTCGGTACATGTCGTGAAAGCGTTGTAGCTGTCCTGGTGCTTGGATGAGCTTGTCGAGTTTTAGCGGATCTTCCCCTCCCACCTGCATTCGGAAGTCTCCCGTGTAGCTGAGAGCGGCGATTTGGCGGTAGAGAGACGGCCACGACACAGCGGACGTAGCGGTGTCGTTGGCCGACGAGGATAACAGGAGTGCCATCGACGTGGCGGCCCGAAGATTCTTTGTTTGGGCGCGAACCAAGTCGTCGTCTCTAGAAACAACGTTCAAAGTGGGTTTGTGCATGCGACCCGCCAGGTATAGGGAATACCAACCGACGAGGTCCCCGACCAAATCTTTTTTGTCGACTACGCCGTACTTCATGTTTGGAAGGCCGCTGCTTTCGTCTGCGTCCACGACGTGGAACAAAACGTGAGCGTCCGGCAGCCAAGGCAATCCCTGACGTTGCATCCTCGTCGCAAGATTGGGGCCTCCAAAACGCAACCACGGGGCGTAGTGGTGAGGGAACCTCTGCAGATTCTCGTTGTGGAATTTTTGGGTGTCGTCGACCACTAAAATGAGGTCTAGCATCCCGGCATTCGCGGCACCCTTCTCTCTTGAAAGGCTCTGAGTAAACACGCCCGAACCATATCCGAAACAATGCACCAGGTGGTCCTGCGGGAACTTCGATATTATATCGTTTTGGATTGCACGACTGGATGCCAACTGCCCATCATTTTCATCGCGGTTCTCGTCGTCATAGTCGTCATTTATCTCGTAGTCGTTGTCACCAGCCTCAACCTCCGCCGGAATCTCGTTTCGAGAATCTATTGACGCTTGCGTCCTTCTCCCGCCCCATTTGTTGCTTGTCTCTGCCACATATTTCATCTTGTTACGAAGCCAGTGGTAACAATGGGTACCAGCACTGGTAATCATAATCGCAGTTGCGCGAGTATTTGAAGTCATGGACTTCGTTATTATTTTGTTGAAAAATCGTGCGGCAGACGCAATCGTACGAATTGGACTGGTAACTGCTACTGTATATGGTAAGTACCTCGTACTCGTAATACGTACTCATGGTATGTACAAGAGAAGAGAAAAAAGTAGGGGTCCGCAACGCAACGCTTTTTGAGCGTTGCAACGCTGCACTAGGGTTAAAATTTTTGCAACGGTGCAACGCTAGACTGAATCATATGGGACTAAAAAATGCAAGACTGCACACACATATGGGACTAAATATTTAGGCAAGACTGAATTTAATATGAACTCTTAGACCTTCTACACTACTACTACTACTACTACTACTACTACTACTACTACTACTACTACTACTACTACTACTACTACTAGTACTAGTACTAGTACTAGTACTAGTTATGTAGTAAAGACAACAATGTGATTGTGAGACATATGAGCTTAGTGTTGTTGAAAGATTTTGAAAACCGTTGGGGCAACAGAAGTTTTCCTATGTGGAACGAAAAAGTCCAACACAGTGGCCAAAACAGACAGAAGAAGGGTATTCATCCTCTCTTTATCATTGCAGCTTTTCTTGACCCACGTTTCAAAAGTTTGGGCCACATTGGTTTAAATGATGGTGACTTTCATGAGGAGGATTGCCCTCGGTCTGCAAAGCATCAAAGGAAAGAAATCAATGAAAAGATTACAGATCTAGTACTAATGATTGAAGAGATGACCAGGACCAACAGGACCACCACCAATGGGATTGCTGAAGAGACTAGTGGGGCAGTTGAAGCTACCAGCAACAGCAATGACTCTGTGGTGGCAGCCTCTGCTACTAGTGGTAGCGATACTAGTGCTGGTACAGAAGAGCTGGTGGACCCTTTGATGATCATGCAGCAGCGACAGGCACAAAAAGAGAAAGCTGCAGTGTCTTCCAATCCTCAGAGTATCAAGGAATCATGCGATCTGGAGCTGCTTAGGTACATTTCCCATCCCCAACTTTCACCCTTTGAGATAGACAAGGAGAGTGGCAAGACCAGGCACTCCAATCCTCTAGTACAATGGTGGGGAAAAAACAAAAAGAACCAATTTCCAACATTGGCTGTTCTAGCAAGGAAGTATCTTGCTGTTCAAGCAACATCTGCTCCTTCAGAAAGAATATTTAGTAGGGCACAGAGGATCATCAGTGATCTACGCACTAAGCTTGATCCTGATATTGCAGGGAGGACTTTGTAGTATGTACTACTAGTACTAGCTGAAAATTTGGAATGGTATGAGAAACAAATGGGCGCATCTTTGAATGATCAAGTGAATAGCAACATCATAGTGKTGGTATGGGACTACTATCAAGTAATTATATCAATATTATACATTTTATTATGCAACGGCGTTGTGCAACGGTCAAGGATGGAAAAAAGGCGTTGTGGACCGTTGCATCCCAACGTTTTTCAAACACTCTGCAACCTGTTGCCCTGTTGCCATGTAAAGTAATGAACAACAACAACAACAACACTACTAATAAATATAAATAATAGTAGTAGTAACCTCTAAGTAATTTATGTCATACTACTAGTATTACTATTTCTATTTAATTCTCATTCTCAAAAGAAAGAAATGGTGGTGCTTGCTGGTGGTGATTCAATGAAGAGGAGGAGGACAGCAACCCAAATTTTTTTACACCAACTAGTACTAGTACTAATGTAAACCCCAGCACCATTGGTGGTGCTGCAGCAACAGCAAGTACCACAGGAGCAAGAACAAGAACCACAGACACAACAGCAACCACCAAGAGCACTCCTCTACTACTATCATCACTCCTACTAGTATGTGACGTACTAGTGGTACTTCTTATACTAAAGTAGTAAAAGCACAACAACCTCAATAATAACAAGAAGAAAGAACAACCCACCATACTCCTACTAAAGAAAAGTGAAATTTACACCAACATTGCAAATATCACAAACCCTTTGACTGCAACAAGAAAATGTAATACTGCTAGTAGTAGCATTAGTGTTTGTAGGACCACTGAAAGTTTGGTGAGTGCCATGTGGTACATCTGTACCACCTGTAATTTTTTTCCAATCTGATCATTTGCAACTGAGGCACAACATTTGAAAGAAAAGAATTTGTACTCCTCAGGACGACGATTGCCATGATACTAGTAGTAGCAGCATCTATYGTATAGGCTGGGCCAAGCAAAAAAGCACGGTTTAAACYGTACATTAGCAATTAAATATATACGTAAACGTATATCAGTCAATATTCGTCGTACGCCGTACTCYCCCACGCCATTAGAAAGCTCTTTGAATTCTCTTTTCAACCATGTGCTTATCATACTCAAGCGTCCGTTGGGGAAAAAGTTATAGCCGAAACGGTCAGTTCAAGACTGAAACAGTTAAACGGTTAAATACGTGTGCGTGGATTAGCGGCCATCTAATTACCGTGTAATGACTCGTGGGATTAAAAATTTGACTTGTACTAGGCCTACAGCATGCATGTGGAAGCAACTCGTGGRATTAAAACTTTGCATGTGTTCGAAGCCAAAATTGTTCGTTGAGCACGACGTGCGCGCAAAACTATTTGGTCGCATGAACGTGTGCCCGCTGTACACTGCAGTACAAGCCAATTTTTAATCCMACGAGTCATYACATGGTAATTAGATGGCCGCTAATCCAAGGTTTAAACCGTACATTGGCTGGCCAAGCCTATACGATACTAGCATGCATGATGTTTTTGAATGGTGAATGCACAGGGTATTAGTAGTACTAGCAGTAGCACTACTACTAGTAGTACTAGTAGTAGCACTAGTAGTAGTAGTACTAGTAGTAGCACTACTACTAGTACTAGTAGTAAGATGTGCTGKCCAATCATTGTCAACACTGGGGGGGGTGCCACACAGCACAAATGATTCACCAGCAGCTTCAATCTTGTTTGTAACAAGCCATGGCACCCAGGAYCCCTCATGCTACTACTAATACTACTGGGACATTACAAAACAATGCATTACCACCAGATACTTTACTAACAAGCTACTGKACGTACAACTAGCTAGGTGCGTACTACTTCTTGTGTACATTCCCTACCATGGTACTGATCCTTATCAAATTCATCAGAATAACAGCCCTTTTCAATCAGTAGTCAATGAAAAGGTAGAAATAAAGTAGCTTAAAAGGTAGGCTTTGTTTCAGTAGCTTGTTGAAAGCTGCTTTTAAGCTGCTTTTGAGCTACTTTAAATTTAAGTTACCTTAAATTATCTATGTAGAAATTAAACCACCATGAAATTGTGCACCAACTGATTTGACTCCCCCCCATCAAATAACAGCAGCCCACAACAACAAACCCTTGCCCCCTTTCCTCCTGCTCATTCACACCAGGAGGAGGACCACCAAACAACAACACTCCTTCTTGTTGTTGGTGCATGATGAGGACCCCCACCAGCAGCAAGAAGAAGCACTAGTATTAGAATGTACTAAACTACTACTACTAATGCCACTAGTACTACTAGTAGTAATAGTAGCCAAAAATATTCCCACAAGATACCTCAACTTTTAAAGAATCTGTACCCACCAATCAAAATACTGCCTGCCATGGATGGAACAGGGTTTTCTTTTATCTTTTTTATCAACTTCAGACAGTACCAATTGATTAGTTGATGCAAATTCACAACCTCCGAAGCACGGAGTATGTCCATCCACAGGTCAGAAAAAATGAAATAAGCGAGATGAACTAGAGTTGAAACAATCGCAT